GGGGAAAAAAAAAAGAGGGGGGGGGGAAAAAAAAAAAAAAAAAGGGGGGGGGGGGGGGGGAAAAAAAAAAGGGGGAAGGGGGGTAGCGGGGGGGGGGGGGGGGGGGGGGGGGGGGGCGTACTCTTATGCTTTGCATGCCTTAGCGGTTAGACCATTGACCACGCGTCCTCGAGAGGACGGAGCATTGTTCCCACAGGACCGATCACCGATGGCCAATCGTTCCTTCCTACTTTGCCAAAGGTGGCTCAAAAATGTCTTCCCTAGTCTGTCTATCCTACCGATGTCATTTCCCGCCTTTTCAAACCACTTCCTACTCCCCAGTACCGCTACCGTCCTCTCCTCTCTATTCCATGCCTCAAACATCTCCCTGTACGTCCCTTGTATTCTTCCCAGCTCAGTCATGTACACTTCCCTCTCCTTTTCGTACCACGGACATTCCGCGACTACATGAACACTGTCTTCGCATTCGAAGCCGCAATCACATTTGAACTTGTCGTCTTCGTCGTCTACCGTCCTATGTCTTCGTCGACGTTCGCGAAGGCCTATGTCCCCGGTCCTGAATTTGACCTTAAGCTTTGTCCCTGCATCCATTGGTCCATGTAGGTAATCCTTGAACCCTATTCCTTCTTTCAACATTCCGTACACTTCTAGACCCTCCTTATCCTTGGATTCTTTCCTTAGATTCTGTTCTTCTCTGTCGGCACAAGCAACAGATATATTCTCCTTGAACCCCTGTAGACCCTCCGTTTCCAGCGTTTCATCTTCGTCGATGTCCAATCCCTTCCATACGTCCTCTACAACCTTGACCCATTCCGTGGGTTGTCTACCCCTCTTTTTATTTGCCCACTTCGCCTCCCATACTATTCTCGGCAACCTCTCCTCTCCCATCCCGCACATGCGGTACTGCCATGTCAGCTTCCTTACGTCTCTTCCCGACCGTAGGGATTGGATCCCCAATTCTGCCCTGACTGCTGCATTACTTGTGCGCTTGGAGCATCCTAGGATGATTTTCGCTGCTTTCATCTGCGCCGCCTCGAGTTCTTTCACTACCTTCTTATTTCCTTCCCATACTTCTCCGGCGTACTCCAGCGGCGGTACGATTACGCTCTTCAAAACCGTCAATTTGATGCGTGTATCAAGGTGCCGGTTTGCGAGTATTGGGTGAAGCTTCCCTGCTCGTGCTTTGCCCTTTTCCGCTACCTTGGACATGTGTGCATTCCACGAGCAATCTTTTGCGATCTCTACTCCGAGGTATGTGTACTGGTCGACTACTGCAATCTCCTCGATCCCCCACTTCCATCTATGTTCTACTGGTTCCTCCCTGCCCTCGTTGCATACAATGACGGCACTCTTCGTAACGTTGGCAGACAATCTCCACTTATCAGTAAACTTCTTCGCCGCGTCAATTTGCAGTTGCAGTCCCTCAGGGGTGTCCGACATACCAACAAAGTCATCCGCAAACAGCATTCCTGACACCGAAGTTTCCGTGTCCCCTACTTTTACTCCCTTCCGGACTGCCTCTACGACTTCCAACAGATCGTTGATGAACACCTGGAACAATGTTGGGGACAGCGTGCAACCTTGTGGGACCCCTTGCTCAATGTCGAAGAATTTAGACAGTTCTCCGTCTAGCATGACCGCGCTTTTCGTACACTCTGTCATCTTCTTCAGCACCCTCCACATTTTCCCCTTGATCCCGTACTTGGAAAATTGTTTCCACAGCCCATTTCTCCATACGGTATCGTATGCCTTTTTCACGTCCAGGAAGAAGCAGTACGTCCGCTTGCCCGCCCTCTTTCTACCTTGGATGATTCTCCCTACCGTGAATGCGTGGTCTACGCACCCCCTCTTCTGTCGGAAACCTGCCTGACCCTCACTAATGCTGCGTTTTTTCTCCAATACTCCCACTATCCTATCGTTCAGCAGCTTACAGAACACTTTTCCTACTGTGTTCAACAGTGTGATACCCCTGTAGTTTCCTGGGTCAGTCTTGTCTCCTTTCTTAAACAAGTTCACAACCACTCCTTCCCTCCATCTACTTGGCGCATACTCGTTTTTCCACACCCAGTTGTACAGCAGTACCATCAGCTGGATCATCCCCTTGCCCCCAAACTTCATGAACTCGTTTACTATCCCATCCGCCCCTGCTGCTTTGTGGCACTGCAGCTTGTTCACACACGCCTCAACCTCGTCCTCAGTGAACTCCTTTTCTAGTTCTACGTTCCCAACGTCTGCCTTCGATGTCTCTTCTTCTTTCTGGGCCCATGCGTCCACCTCCTTCTTAAACACTTGGTCAAAAGCTTTATGCTCCGAAGGCACTCCAAGTCTCTTGTAGTGTCCTTCGATGTCTCTTCTTCTTTCTGGGCCCATGCGTCCACCTCCTTCTTAAACACTTGGTCAAAAGCTTTATGCTCCGAAGGCACTCCAAGTCTCTTGTAGTGTCCTGCTAGAACTTCCCTTTTTCCCTTCCCACTGCTGACTAGTCCACCGTTCACACCTCGCAATGTTGCTACCCCTGTATCCCCCCCTTGCGCGGTCTTTTTTACCATCCCACTAATCCCTTCCCACATCTGCTTGGCGTTCCCCTCCAGGCCTCCGTTGGCCTTCTGCACTACTTCGTCCCAAATGCTCTTTTTCTTCTTTTTCACTAGTCCCTTCACCTGTTTCCTCTTGGCCCTGTACTTTTCCCAACTCTCTTCAGACCCCTCACCCAGGTACTGCTTGAAGACTTCTCTACGTTCCCCTATTTCTTCTTTCAGCTCATCCCACCACTTAACCGATACCCCACATCGTACCACCTTCTTTCCCACTACTCTCTCTGCCGTTGTGTTCACTATGAACTCCCATCCTTCAATCACCCTGTCCCCTGCTGCTTGTACGTCTACCTTTCCGTCTTCGACGCTTCTCAGCAGTTTCCTGAAGGGTTCTACACTACCAGCCAATCCCTTCTGGAATTCATCGCGTGTCCCCTCGTCTCCCAAACGCTCTACTTTCCACCGGAACACTTTCCTCTTTTTCTTACTCTCCGTCTTTCTAGATCGGTCGATGTTTGCCCATATGAGGAAATGGTCGGTCGAACCTATATCTATCGCACTTACGTGCAGCTCCGGGACCTGTGTGCTCCCCCTATCTACCAGGATGTAGTCGAGGATCGAGTATTCATTGCAAACTGCCCTCTGCCTGGTGAACTCTGGCTTATCGCTTTCCCTCCTACCGTTCAACACCATCAGCTCGTTGCTTCCCAAGAATTCAAGCATCCTCACTCCGTTGTCATTCACTTTGTCTTCTCCGTGCTGCCCGATCGCCTGTCCTCTACTGCAAGCTTTCCCTACTCTGGAGTTGAAATCGCCCACCATGACAACTTCTCCCTTCCTACTGAACCTCTGGACATCTTCCCCAATTTGTCCGAAGTTCTCCTGCGTCTTGCTTGCGACTTTCTTCGACGACGGTGGGACGTATACGTTCCCTAGAAACAAATCTTTCTCACCCCGCTCCCCAGGTATCTTAAGCCATAGGCTTTCCTCGAACTCCGTTTTCACCACTACTTCCACCACGTCATACAAGTGTTCCTTGACCAGGAATCCGACTCCCCCCTCCCCCCTTTTCTTCGGGTCTAAGCCCTTTCTTGCCTTCCCTACCCACCGGTACTTCCCTATTTTGGGGCGGTAAATGGAATAAAATCAGTGAAAAATGAGGGAACCGTCATCGACAGACTTTGGGGAGATTACCCTTTCTGAAGGGAACGTCCACAAATGGTGTTTTCACTATTGAAGCGTGGGAAGAAATTTAGAGAGGAAGAAGGCGGCACAATAAAGCAGGGCAGAGGCAAGAATACGACATTCACGACAACGCCAAAGGCCGGCCGGGTGGCACGAACGACAGACGGTGGTAGAACGCGCCCGAAAATATGGCCAAAGGTGAACAACAGCAGAGGGCCGGGTGGGGGGCTGAAGCACGTCGCAGGCACAAAATAAAAAAAGAATAAAAAGCGGGACAAAAGCCCTGAGAGGACGACAGCGGTGGAGGGGCGATTGCAGCCAAAAGGCTGGCACAATGAGACACCAGCCTGTTCAATGCTTCAGGGTGCATGTTCCGCGCGTTGTTCTTGGCCCGCTCGGCCCCGCACGGAGTCATGCCGACGAGGCACAGCCGGGAACCCACACCGGTGCACAGCTTGGCTTCATGTGCAACTCACCGGATGGTTTGCGATCACATCGTTCGTTTCAAGCAGCTCGGCGTCATCCATGTCCGGCCACCTTTCAGAGAAAGGAAAAGCCGCGACGGGGTCGTGGGAGACAGGGGGCACGCACGAGGGGGGGGGCAAGCAAGGGAGGAATCTTCTTGTCTCGCGTTCGAACGATTGGGTAAGCGCATCATGTATGACCTAGCTGGCGGTTTCATATCACGAGATTAAGGGGCGTCGCCTGCGGGTCGGCTATAGCTAGCGCCCGCACTTACGAACCTTTATCTAGTTTCGGTCGAGGCAGGGGTCCTTACGATGGCCGCGACATAGGTGGTAGCGTGAGGGTGTTCTTAGCGCTCACACATGGTGCCCAAGTCCTTGATGAGTTTTTCGAGGCTACACCAATTTCTCGACTGACTGCCAAGTTTAACGTGCTATGTAACTGTTTGTGCTTGCCTGGCTTCGCAAGTCCATCATCCGCTAACCCTGATTCTTCGCCGTGTATTTGCAAAAAAAAAACAGACGCCTGTACCACTTTCACTCCACATCAACGCTGATATCACCAGCAGCAAGATGGCGGCACCGCCAACGGCAGCTCCAACACCAATCGTGCACGGTTCACACCAGCAGCGTTTCCAACACCACCAGCGCCATCAGCAGCAACAGCGCCATCAGCAACAACAGCTCTAAACAACCGAGCACTGCATCGCCGTCGCAATCTCTACAACAGCAGTATCGTCACATTTCAAGCGGCGCACACCACCCTGTGCCATCAACACCCACCATCCACCACCATACCATCCACTTACCATCTCTTTGGCACGGTTTCTTCGATCTCCTCCTTGGTGTAGAGCCAACGCACCTCCACCCACTCCTCGCCATGTCGGTCCTTGAATATGTGCACGATCTCAGCCGGGTACCTTCATGGCAAATACATGATTGGATTTTCATAGGGTATGTTTGTTTGGTTTTTCCAAATCCCAACCGACAAGACAATTACCTCATTTTCGAGCCAAGTAAGAAGAACGGACGGTGAGGCTTCAAAACAGCATCAGGTACAGAGAAAACAACCCGAAATAGTGTTTTTTCAGTTGTCAAAACCAGATACCCGGGGAGGCGAAGGTGTGCTTGTGGGAAAACAGCAAACGATGCTGTGTTGCCAAGAACATCGGCAGGGTAGGCCCACCGGAGGAAACGGCCACAAGGTACGAAACGGCACCCTCGACATCAGCGAGTACGAGTACCAACCAACGACCATCAGCGCCAGCACCACCAACAACACCAATTCAACACCAACAACACCAACAACAACAAAAACGGCAAACTAAGACAAACGAAAGCCGGGAGGCAGCTCGTAGCAGCACGCCAGGCAAACAGGGAGGGAGGGGGGCGCCGCAGCAAGAGACTCACTTTCCCGAGTCGGTCTCTAACACCGCGCAGTCCCCGCAGCGGTAGGTCTCGCTCCCGCCGCCGCCGCTGTCACCCACCCTGACCTCCGTGTAGTACGTGTCCCAGGCCTCGTTCGTCCAGGTCTTCCTCAGCATGCTCACCTTCCTCTCGCCGTGGCCACCGTCATCACTGTCGTCGCTCTCGTCTTCCTCTTCGTACTCCGTCTGCCCCTTGGTCTTGCCGTCGCCCTTCTCCCTGCCCGCGGCGACCACTGACCGCTGGCCGACAGGAGAACTAGCATCAGGGCCCGAACCGGCACCAGTAGAGCCGCCGCAAGGCGAACCTGAGCGTCCGGGCCGCCCTGCCCGTCTAGACCCCGGGGAGGCTGTTCCTGGTGTCGGCGTCTCCGGAGGCATCTTGTACAATACTGCCGTGGGCAAAAGCGGTGTCGTAGTTGGAGGTCTTGACCACGGGGTGGGTGGGCTTGGATTTTTCACGGTTCCGGACCTCTCTGCGGTGGCAAAGGGTGTGTGTGGCGACGTTGGAGTCGTCGTTAGGTGCTCTCAACTACCGGTACACGGGGAAGGGGTGGGGAGTTGCGTATTCTTCGCCCCTTTGTGAGAGGAAAAGAAAGAAAGTCAAGCCGACAGACCAAATAGAAGGGACGCGTGCGTGGCGGTGGGGGGGGGGGCTCCTGGTATATTTTTCTTACGGCTGGATCAAATTTCATTGGTGATTATTGCCTGTTATTGGTCATGCTATCCACTCCACGAGATTACGGAGCGTTCGTACTTCCAACAGTAGGCACGCGAAACAGCGCCTTGTGTCTACATGGCACATGGTAGTGAAAACGCTGCGGTCTGGATACTACACTATTCACGCCTTCGGAAGTCACCTGTTCGAAGTGACGGGCTGCTGAAAAGTACTCACGGACACAAAAAAGCTGATTGGCCACAACAGAGTATGTGAGCATGACTTCGAAAACAGGGTGCTGCTGTAGGATGTCGACAACACGCGCTGATTGGCCACGACACAAGTAGTCAGATTGGGTTTCGAGATCAGCGTACTATAGATAGGATGTCGAGAAATCTGGGGGAGGATAGCATCTACCGTAGAATAGTGCCTTTCTTCTCTAACTGAAGAGCTCTTTATTAGGGCCACAAAATAAGAAACGCCCCGCTTATGGTGCTCCGTGGTATTAAATTACAGGTGGGGGGACGTCAATAGCGCCGGTTGAATAGCGCTGTATCGCGCCGGTGGGAGTTGCTTGGCACAGATTGAATCGCCAACTCATTCTGAACATTGAATAGCGCCGGTAACCCCGGATAGCGCCGGTCGATGTGCCGGGCACGTGCCGGCGTTGTTGAGGGTCCTCCGCTGCTGTATCTCCGTTTCAGCGGTGCCTCATGTACCTCCCGTGAGTGACACAAGATACCACACCCCCTGGACCAATTTCAAAGTTCGATTACCTTACAGTAGAAGTAGCGGTACAGAAAATGGCGGCATTGGAACCGTCACGGCGATATCTTTCCGAAGCATACCATTCGATTTCGGCAACCTCTACGTCCTGGAGTAGTCGAGCGTTGAAAGTCGAAAGGGGGTGTGGTATCTTGAGTCACCTCTGTAGTCTGGACCACAAAGCAGTTGGCATTTGTAGATAAGATACCTCTGATGCTGACGTTACCTGACTCGGCTCGCTCGCCGCATCTGTACTGTCTGCCGTTTCTGATGTGTGAGAAAGCACCGTGAATACAGCTGACTTCGACGGCTTCCTATCATACGCTCGCTGCCACCTCTGGCGAAAGGCGGGAGAACAGGACGGAATTTGAATTTTTGCAGTTGCCGGGTTTGAAAAGACGTTAGACACAACAAGTGATGTTGATACAAGAGCTGACCCCCATCTCGCCATCCTCTGTGTTTCTACATTACAGTACGTATCATGCTGCCACTTTCTCCCCAAGCTGTGTATCTCTTGGTGCGGACATCTGCTGCAAAGCCCGGCTTAGGCTGGCACTGCTGCTGCTGCTGCTGATGTTGATGCTGCTACGTATGAACATATTTTCAATCCACATTCGCCGCGCACAAACATGAATTGTAAACACGCCTTTTGTCCATAGGCCCTGCCATGTCGCCACATACCTTCAGATCGCAGCAGTGAACTGCTGTTGAGGCTTGCTCCACTCAACGTTACGGTCGTCGCGAGCTTCAGCTGCAGAATAGGTGAGGTCTTTTTTTTTTTTTTTTGCTTCTTGGCGCGGGAGCGCTGCGGCGGAATTGCGGGCGCGAATATTTGCAATCCATGGATTATAAAAGAGAACCACAGTCCAAACATCCGGACGGATCGAAACCCCGGGAAACCGCCCGGAGTGTCCCCGAAGAGGTTCTCCTCTCTCCCTCTCAAATTCAATATTATCTCGGAGCCTGGATCTAACGCCCGTTGTCTTCGGAAGCAGAGCTCTCGTCTGCAGCAACAGCCTCAACAGTCCATACTGCCATACTGGCACATATTTCACGCCAAGGCCACCCTTCGCACCCGGGATGCCCAGGAGACGCTAGGCCTCAGAGGAACAGGAGGACACGACGACACACAACGCCCCGTACTTAGAGGAGTGCTCGTCTCTCTCTGTGTGTGTGTCTATCCGCGTGTGGTGCTGCTGTTGTTGTGCGTTTCTGCTGCTGCAAGCAATTGTTGCTGTAGATTTTGTGAACTACATACAGCAGTATTCTTTTTTTGGTAGATATAACCTGCTGCACGGTGCTGCCGTGATGGATGTCAGTCATCATGGGGCCGTCAAAATCTGTAGGCATCGTTTAGTTCGCACACCGCAGGCCCGCTCAACAAACTCGAGACGCGGCTCACACGGGTTTTCTTCGCAGAGCACACAGGTCGACAAGCACAGATAGACGCAGAAAAAAACAAAACAGAACAATCAATATCCAACAGCGATTTGATGATAGACTGACCCCCACCAAAAAAAGAAAGGACCTGGATATGACCCCAACACGGCAAAAAAGGGGGCGGAAGAAAGAAAAGAAAAGGAAATGGAACAAAAGAAATAAAAACAGGACAGGAACCAGATGGCCCCATCGAACGCTACACCGCAACAACCAAATAGACATACAAACACAAAATCGACAACATCACAGACGGCGATCGGCGCAAAAACGCCGAAGCGAAAAATAAACAACACACCGAGCCTTGACCTGCCGCCGGGGGGGGACAAAACATCGTTCAGGCATATGCCCCGGTGACGTCGTAAACCTAGGGCCGCGTACCGCTACTCACGTACCCCAAAGTATGCAACACCGAAACTAGAGTTGGGACCCCGAAGTCGCGGCTCTCTTGCTACCCCCTCTTGTGTATCTTTCTGCAGCGCCAGGTCGTCTTTTATTACTTGTCCTAGCGGGCAGGCGAACAGTTCCAGGGTTGGCCATGAAGAGAGCCGCCCCCCGCCCTCCCGTCGTTGTAGTTCCTACCCCGCCTGCTTGCACATTGACCATCGTCAGAAATTGGTCCACGAGGGCTACGGCGACTGTCGGTGAAAAGCGATCAGACAAAATACTCGCGGCTTGCCCGAGCTTCTTCGTTACGTCGGCGTACAACACTTGTCTATCCTGGTCCGTGGGCCCCTTCTCCTTCAAGTCCAACAGGACCGTCTGCACCGTCTGGCTGCTCCCAACGAAAGACTTCCACCTCCCGCTGCATCCCCCCACCCCCTCTCCCTCTCCCTCTCCCGCCGCCCCCGTCCACTTCTCTCGCAGCGTGGCGGTTGGATACCACCCACCGAGGGCGGGCGACATCCGGCCAGTCCTGCTGCGGTGTTCCCCTCGCCTTTTCCGTCAGCCAGTGCTCGTGCAGGAGGCCTACGTGGAATCTGAATCGGGGGCTGTACATCATCGCCGCCCACACATGGCGACAAAATAGCCTGAGAGTTTGGAGTGTGCGGCACTGGCAGAGATGGCTACCGTCGGAAAAGAGCAAGACGAGGTAGTCGAAGGCCTTGTCATCACGCTGCTCGTGAATCCCGAAGACGTAAATGGCGTCGCAAAGCTTGTCCTCGATGTACTCGAACGTGCGCCCCGAAGCTGCCGCGCGTTCTGGTCCATCCACCTCCCCACCACCCATCTGGCAAAACGTGATGGCCGCGGTCATCTCTTGCTCCATGAACCGCCGCGGCCAGCCCGCGATGGAGAACTCGCAGGACTCGAGCACACTCTTGAAAGCGGTCGCTGGTGGAGCCGCCATCCGATTAGGCGGCAGATGGTCGATTGCGTCACGCAGCATGGCGGCATCCTTCTGGGAACCAGATGATGCCCGAAAAGTACTTCGCCACGTCCAAAAGCGAGGAGCGCGAGTTGCACCTATCCCTGATGAGGGCGTTTTGGCCTGTTGTGTGTGCGGCGGACAAACACGCAAGAAGCGACACACAAACCAAACCGTAGGTTAGTGATTGGTGTCATCAGACATCGTTGAAGTCGCAGTACGCCAAACGACTGAAAGAGAAGCCTATGACTTGACGCACCCATCGCCACAGATGTATGTACACGTGAGCCGGACGATCGCAGTGCACCGACCAAGTACATCAATCCCGAACAACAGGGGCCGGACAACAGCCACATGTTTCGAAAGAGGTCGTAAACATTAGCGTCATGTAGGGAGTTGTTTACTGGTCATCCACTGACGGCGTACGATAAATTCGTCCAGAAGCACTCACCAATGGCATAGTAAATAGGGGGCAAGGAAGATAGCCGCCCCCAACCCCTACAGACGTAGAAAAACTCCCAAAAACAACGACAACGCTATATGCGCTGTCGTTCTCGAACAAAACGCTCATGATGGCAGATGACGCATACACGCACCTTCAACTCTTGATGTCGTCCACGAACCCACGGAGAACACCAGGGGCGACACATATTCCGCCCACCGTGCACGGTCGTCATATACTACTTGCATGTACTTCTCCGCCTTCGGGTACTTTTCGATGAGGGCGTTGAACTTCCGTTCGAACTTCGCCAATGACAGCTGCTGACGCACACACCTGAACTCGTCCATGAAAGGCTGCGGAAAACACAAACGACGTGGGCCGGGTGGGTGTTGCGTGAGTTGGGGCCTTTGCGATATGGGCTACCGGTCTGTACGATTGACTGCCACCAACAACCCCGTACACTTCGTTAGCGCTAAGGCGAGACGAGGAGAGGGTTGAAAAAACTCAGCGACATACCATTGGTGCTTACAACCTGCTGCTGCTGCTGCTGCTTTTTCTGTGTGCACTGGACGTCGTGAGGTATGTTTCCGTCGAAGCCGAGGTCGTCTCCGCATCACGGTCTACGCAGAGACGCTGGATATCACTCTTCCAAGTAGGCGACACTGATCCATGACAACGCACCAACTCGCACAGGGGATACAAGCGGGAGTGGGGGAGGGGGGCTAGAGTGGGCAGCGTACGTCGCGCGACCAGGACAATACGAGAGGCCAGACTAACCACGCCAACACACACAGTAGAGCGCACCTTCATGTACCCACCAAGGACTTTAGCGAGGGCCTTGATAACGTTCTGGTTGAGGTGCCATAAATTGCGCCTCGCCAGCGCGTCCGGGAACACCTCTCGCACCGCCGCCGTCATCGCCGCGTCCGCGTCCTGGATGAAGGTATCCGGCTGCTTCCCGCGAGACTCCAACGCACTCTTCAACATCCACAGGAAAGTGTCCGTTGTGGTGTCGGCCGTTATGCTTTGGCCGACGATCCGCGTCCGATACTCCGAATCGACGACAGCGAGCACACCGAGAGGCATACGGTATCTGTTCTTGACAGCGGTGTCGTCGTAGAGCGCAACGTGACCGTACCGATTCCAAAGCGCCACCTGCGTATTCGGAGCATGACGTCGAAGGGGATCGAGAGCACTTAATTGTGGGTGTGACGTGTGTTGGACGCGTCACAACGCACCCCCACCCTTGCCTACGGCGTGCTTTCGGTCAGACGTCCTACATTTGCGGACGGCGAAGCGGTACGTGCGAGATGCTAAAATGAAAGCAAACCTTCCGGCTGGGGAATATTCGTATGGGGCACAACGACCGGCGACCTACCTGCTCTCTCGTTTGCCACCAGATGTGCGTCAGGCGGCCGCTGTCATCCATCTTGATCTCGCACACTCCGCCGTCGGCCGTCGCGGCCATGACCTGAAATTGCAACATGTTAAGCGCCCGGAAACATCGAGGGCATCAGCGCAAAACCACGACGACGGCACGGCACACATTTTTTACCTCCAACATTTCTTGGTTTGGTGTCATGGGGCATATATTCTCCCGGTTGTCACCTGCGATCGTATGTGTCTTGTCGCCCGGATACCGCCTTGAGCAAAACCCAACATCCCACACACAAACAAGAGAGGCAACAGTCTCAACGGACACATGGACACACCTCTTCGTACGCATCGGCAGCATCTCTCGGCTTCTCCGCCCCGTGCACAATGGCAGCTGCGTTCTGCACCGCGCGCTTGTTGATGTCGATGTCGCTGTCCTCGTGCAACGCCTTCATTGCTTTCGTCACCTCTTTTGGCTTCATCCCATGACCTGCGCCGTATGGGAGAGCCGGGAGCACAAAAATAAGTGGCGTGTCACAGACAAACAGGGTAACAATGTGGAGGCGACAGCAGTACCACGCTTCAAGGGCCGTTCGTCATGCGGCATCATGACTACCAACCATGACAAACCGTGGGATACGACGGGAGCCACTGTAGACCTACTCCAACGAGTTCAATCTTCCTTGCCCCATATTTGATTCACAAGACAAGACAAATGAAACGTTTCGCCGTCCACCGCTGAGTACACGAAAACAGCGAACCGAACGTGCACGCGTTGAAAGGCATGAGGTGCAGCACAGCAGGGACAATCAATTGTGCGTGCTACACCCACGGAAACAATGGCAGGGCCTCTACAGGGAGCCTTGATGTGGACCGGGGGAATGCCAGATACCGGTGCTCTTTTCATGGGGCCAAGGGGAACAGCAGCAGCAACATCAAGTAAAGCACACAAAAAAACATTGTGGGTGTCACGCCGAACGGCACGTGTCAAGCACCAACCCGTCTCGCCTGCGTTTCCGGCGGGGGGCTGGTGGTCAATGTCTGCTGCTGTTGTTGCTGTACGGGGTGGGCTTGTACAGGGTAGCCCGCAAAACCTCCGGCGGCCCCAGCATCGGGAGCACCCACAGGGGCCGGAGTTCCCAACGGCAGACCAGTGCGAGGTGAAAGCATGGCCTGCAACCGCACGCGAAACCCACCACGCGGCGGAATGGAAGGACACCATGTCAACGTTTGATCACAAGACAAGACAAATGAAACGTTTCGCCGTCCACCGCTGAGTACACGAAAACAGCGAACCGTACGTGCACGCGTTGAAAGGCACGAGGTACAGCACAGCAGCGACAATCCACTGGCGTGCTACACCCACGGAACAAACATTGCCGGTGTCACGTCGAACCGCACTTGTCAAACATCAACCCGTCTCGCCTGCGTTTCCGGCGGAGGGCTGGTGGTCAATATCTGCTGCTGTTGTTGCTGTACGGGGTGGGCTTGTACAGGGTAGCCCGCAAAGGCTCCCGCAGCGCCAGCATGACGAGCACCGTAAGAGGCCGACAGAGCAGCACTGGATGGAAGCATTCCTAGCAATGACACTACCGCACGGCAGGCCACGGGTCCCACGACGCGAACATGGAGGGTAGACACATGAAGTTAAGGGGTTGGGCAAGTGCGTGCACAGATGCCTGCACCTCTACCAGCCCAGCACTGCTGTAGCACCACCATACAGCCGAGCAGCCAGAAGAAAAGACTCCGGACTATACGGCAAGGACAACAGGCAGGGCCTGGCCTGGCCTGACCACACCAGTGCAGGCACATGATCACCAACGTACGTACGACGGCAACAACAGGTACAGAGCAGCATCGACACGTGGGACAGCATGAGGGAGGCTGCAACACAGGAGACAGACCAACACACACATGGCGCTGGTGCGGGTGCGGCCGTTGCTATTTTATTTCCAAAAAAAACATCACAGAGAGGGTGAGGGTGAGGCACAGACACAGAGGATGCACGGACGCCTGTCGGGACGGGATCTCACCAGTTATCGTTGTGTGTTGTCTCCTCGTCTTCCCCCAGCGTGCGGGTGCGTGTCGCCGCCTTCAGACGGCTCTCCGCCGCCGTGATTATCGCTGCTTTTATAGGAGAGGGAGAAGAACCTCTTCGGGGACACTCCGGGCGGTTTCCCGGGGTTTCGATCCGTCTGGATGTTTGGACTGTGGTTCTCTTCTATAATCCATGGATTGCAAATATTCGCGCCCCGGAATTGCTGGAGTTCGAAACCCTACGGACCCACGGATGTTTTGATACGGGGGGGTAGGGGCTACGCTCCGGAGCGCTTTGTTTCGCGGCCCCCCGCGCTGGTCTGGGACCTCTGGCAAAGACTATGACTATAATAATGGTTATTATAGTCATAGTCTTTGACCTCTGGTCTGGCGACACAGCCAACATGCCGGATATACTCCGTTCTCTTTTGTTTTCAGTCTTCTGCCACGGTGGTTGGGTTGCGGTCTTGTTAGTAAGGGAAAAATAACTACGCACCAGAAAGACTACCATTCGTGATATACCCGACCGGCTAGGCCTTGTTGCGACTGGCTATATTATCGAGGGGCAGCGAGCCGTGGGTGCGTCCTCAAGTCATCAATAACGTCATCGATCTTTTCAGCGACACGGCCTCAATGGGCGGAATATAAAGAGACACGTCATGAAGCTTGGATGCACGCGAGGGGAGCTTCAGCCGCAATCCTACCCGCATGGATGGTTTGGCAACCTATGAAACGCGTACCATCAAACTCAACGCGTGTTGGATAGAGCAGACGAAAATAACATGTAGCCAAAAGTCGCAAAACTACCACCCGTGGATACAACGTGCCCTGTAAGACGTCATTCGTGAGCTTCGCGTGTGACGAGAGAAACCGGGCAGAACGATCGTGCTCCGCCTAGGACACGTAGAAAAAGCGCTCCTTCTTTGTCGAACAGGCTCATTCCGGCGGATTTCGCTTTGTGGGAGCACTGCTGCTGTCGACCCACAGGAGGATCCGTTCAAAACGCCTCGCAAGTGTCGCGACACGAAATGTTGCCAAAAAAACAAAAGCCAAGCAAAACGTCTGGTACACGCCGTTCTTGTTTCTTATGCATGTTTGTGACATGGTATGTATCAATGACGTATTACTGTAGACTGCCTCCAGTTGAGTGTACTCAAGGATATATGATGATGTGTTCAATTTACAGCAAGTACGCATAGTTCATGTCACATCTCAACATGTAACCAGTCAAACCCAGCTAACTCGCGCTTTATTCCTTCTGCCAAAAAAACTCACTCCCGTTCGTCTTCCAAAAGCGTCCCACACTCTTCTAGGCTACCCTGTTGGCGTAAACCTCGTGGTCCTTGACCCAATCCTAATCGGCGATAAATGTGCCTGTAACGAGAGGACAAAAATGTCGCTATTCGCTGAAGCTGTGCAGCAAACCCCACATGATACAAACAATGACGCAGCAGTAATCTACACCGCCACTACATGGAATCGGATGTTGTTTCACCCACTCGTCTCTAATATGTCGTATATGTATGCAGTCTATTCAAGAACGTGACCAATGTCGACAACTCATACATACATACACACGTACATGCATCCGCGTTTTCACAAGCATTGGCGAGGAACCACGCAAGCGAATCTTTCCGGACCCATTTCCCCCTGCGCCACTCCCTCACCTACACCTCTGCCTTCATCCGGAAACCAGTCCCCGACATTGTCAGCAACAACACATAATATCCCCCCTATTCCCCCCCTCCGCCCCTCCCTTCAATAGAAGTCGAAAGAGATTCATTCGGGGGATAAATACTGCGCACCACCCACCACCCACTCTGCAAGAGTCGCAACACCGCACGTACGTGCGATACCTACATGGCGAGGGAACATTTTTCCCTCGTCATGGCGGCTTTCAATCCTGGCTTGCACTTGGTCCAGCACACTCCAGCCAAACTCCCAAACCTCCCCCCCCTCTCCCCCTTCACTCACATCACGGCAGCTCTCTTTTGGCGTCGCCAAGCCAAAACAAATTCGGGCACCATACGCACAACACCAAACAAAACTGTTTTCGTGCTCCCCTCCTCGAAACTGTATGGCCAACAGCTCGAGCGAGTGGCGATGGGACACCCCTTCCGTCCCGTGGTCTTTCCGGTTTTTACTTGGGGCCGTAGGACGTGTAGTCAGTCACGCCGGGCTATTTTGTTGTCGTCGTTCATTGTTCCGTGGTAACGTTGTTCCGCGACAGCAGCAACCCCATGCAAAACAGGCCCCCGGTGATGAAGCCGGAGCAGAAACGCGGAAGAAAATCGCCAAGAACGTGGCACAGAGGCAGCGATGGCGGGAAGCACGCGAGGGTTAACTTTATCTCACGCGCAACATCAGGCAAACACACGCGCGTCTCAATACACCAAATTTCTGGTACATCCTTTGCTTCACGTTTGCCCGACGATTGCTACTCCATGCTCAAACGTGTTTCTTGATAGTCGACAACCCACTTTGTCTCGATTCGGCAACAAGAGCTCTTCGTAACGCGCACGTACCTTGACGAACTTGGTGAAGTTGTCCTTGAACATGCCAGCGAGCTTGGTCCTGGTGGCGTCGTAGCCCTTCTTGTCGCTCCACGCCTCGCGGGGGTTCAACACCTTGGCGGGCACGCCGGGCAGCTCCGCCGGCACCTCGAACCCGAACACCTTTGACAAGCCGCGGCCACCAGCACAAGAAGGGGAGAATTGCGCGTTTCATTCGCAGCGACGCGAAATCGCCAGACCAAAACACACCGAAATACATATATTTCTTAAGTTCGAGTGGAAAGCGCTGGGCTGACCGAGGCTGTTTCTTCCCCCCACCCCGTGCCGATGGATGCCCCTATGGCTTGGAATACTGCACAACCGTTTCCAGTTTGACTCCTATTACCATCACGCTCAGGGGTGGCCTTGCCCTGACACGGATACCACGTCACACGGCTTGCTTGTTCTTGTTTCGTTCCGGCGAACGGCGGGGTTCCGCCGCGCCATCACCAACTACGCGGGTATTGGGGGTAGTGAGCAGCCGATGCTCAGTGGAGCAGCCAAGCCTGTGCATCAACTGCTGCGAGGGTTTGACTCATTTCGTGAAATTCGGCAAGTCCGCAAGAGGCCGTTGCAAAATCTCCCCACGACTGCTGACAGAAAGTCTACGAAACTAGATTCGCAACTGCGTTGAGCACCGAGAGGCTCCTTCGCGCAAGCGTCTGAGCGTATCAGCCCAGAACTTTCGCGAGATTCACTCAACCTCTCACGGTTCTAGGGGATTGGGGAAATCCTGCTTTCCTACCGGGCGAGAGGACGCGACGCGCTCCGTCGTGGCATCCTAGGCGGAACCCGACTCATCCCCGCACGGGCGTACGTCTTGACGTGTGCAACTCTCTCTAGCACGCCCCCCTTGTCTGTTGCACAAACGCCGACCACACACTCGTCGAAACCCTCCCACGAGTAGCCAAACAAGCCGCAACACCAGCACGAGCTCCGCGCCATACCGCGGTACCACTGAAAGTACCTCAACTTATCTTCGCCGCGGCCCGTTTCATATTCCGCCTATTGGGGTACCCCCACGGCGGCAATACAGGTTGTAGTGTAGACTTCTTGACTGAGAACTCGTGCCCAAGGTCTGAGATTGGATTTATCAAGGCTCAAGCTTTGAGGTTCAAGTTCTTCACTGCTACCATTCGTAAGCGGTGGCGCGTTCTGTGTTTGTGCGTGCTTAGGGGAGTTGGAGACGGGGCTGTCTTGTCCAATTATTTTTCTTCCAAGGGTTTGCAAGTGGGTATGCATAGGGTCCAGCCAATCTGGAACGGTAGCTTCCAGATATTTTGAAGCGTGCATAGCGCCCAGAAAATTCGGAACGGTCGCTTTCAAAGTTTTGGAAAGCGTCCAATATTGTTGCCTTCGACCGCGCTTCGCAAAGCTACCTACCACATAACTTAAAAAACTTCCGAAATTTGGGGAGGGAACAACGCCCTTTTTTCTTAACGCCTCCCTTACCGGGTCCGGGGTAAAGGTGGTCTTGCCGATGCTGCCGTCCAGGACCGCGTCGACGCACGCCCTGGTCGCCTTGATGGACATGCGCTTGCCCACCCCGTACCCGCCCCCGGTCCAGCCCGTGTTGATCAGGTAGCACTGGGTGCCGTGCTTTGCCAGCTTCTTCTGGAGCAGGTCGGCGTACCTGATGGGTGCGAGCGGGAGGTCTCATCACTAAACTTGCAATTCTACCGTCCACCACTATCCCCGTTTCGAGGCAGAGAGGAGGGCGAGGGGGGGGGGCCAGGAAGGCAGAGTCCGTTGGCCTCATAGCATCCTGGAAGGGAGTCCAGGGACGAGAATCCCGGAGAGACAGGGGGGCGGGTAGAATTCCATCGTGTGTGTGCCATCCTTGGTCCTGAACAATTTCGGTGCCGTTTCGAGGTTTCCGATTCCACCGCATGCAGAATGGGAGGAAACGGAGTACTCACATCGTTGGGTGCAGCGTGAGGAACGCCGCCCCAAAGCCAGCCGAGAAGTTAGGCGTCGGCTCGGTCACCCCGCGCTCCGTGCCCGCCACCTTAGCCGTGTAGCCGCTCAGGAAGTGGTACATCGCCTGGAAGAGCGTAAGAAAATCCTCGTGGGTTGAGATATGGTTTTAGCCGAACCCTGTCTACCCCGAAGAAATCAAACCGGCACGCTTTTCCCTGATTCCCAGGAAACCTCCTTCATTGCTGATAATGCTTCATCCTTGATACCCATGCCAGTCTCAACCCAAGACACAGGGTTGGGTGAAGAGAGAAAAACGAAGAACAACGAAAACAAGAATAACAAAAAAAACAGCGACTAACCGCTGCACACACATGATTGGCGTGTCTATCTCCTCCCCCACGCGGTATCATCACCCCCACCTGTCCCGCGCTGAGTCTCGACACGGGGGGAAGGATGCCGAAGGCGTCGCACGTGAGGAAGATGACGCTGTTGGGGTGTCCCCCCATGCCCGACGGCTCGTAGTTGTCGATATGGTAGATGGGGTACGACACGCGGGTGTTCTCGGTCTTGGAGACGTCGGTGTAGTCGGGCTCGCCGTTGTCCTGGCGCAACGAGAAAGAGAGAGAGAGAGAGAGAGAGAGAGAGAGAGAGAGGGGGTGAAAAGGGCACGACGAACGGAACGGGCCGCGAAGAAGCCTGTATGCGTCACTTCGCTGGGGCGTGGCCGTGGCCATGTGTGTGCCTTTCTTTGGCTCACACTTACTCGCAGTTGAACACGCATCATCATTATGGGAGACTAATACCGTTCCTGCTGCTTCACGCGCGAGTGGGGAGAAGTCGAACGCGCATCCGCCGAGCTCGCACGAGTGATGGTGGGCTGTTGTACAAGGAAGAAGCGCTGTGTAACTCTCGCGTCGGTTTTATCGTGTCCGCCACAAGGTGTTTTTAGAATGCCTTTCGTGTCTGAAGAATCATGTCGGGTGATGGTGAAACACTTCCACTACCAGCTCGATGTGATTAGGATGCAACACCGAAAGAACGGTGGTTTAGAGGATGCATTTAGGAAAACGCCACCCCCCGTCCCGTTCTTCTTCGCGAGAGATATACCATGGTACAACACGGAACTACACATCCACCCGTGTCGCACGAGCAAAACCCAGACGCAAACAATGGCCGAATGAAACGCTGGTTTAGAGAATGAGTCCGGGAAAAGGCCGCCGCCCGTTCCTCTCTTGGTTGGTAGAGGCTCGAAACGCCCCCCCGTACCGCACGAGCAACAAATCAGACGCAACCAAACCTTGATGACGACGTTCTCCAGCAGAGCGTCCCTCTTGATTGCGTCGTAGATCTCGGGCTCGTTCTCGTGGGAGAGGTTGATGGTCTTGGCGTAGCAGCCGCCCTCGAAGTTGAAGATGCCGTCGTCATCCCAACCTGCACGCGCGGCGGCAGCAGCGGTGGCCCATGTTCGCCGCGGAAAAAAGCGGGCTTTCGAGTCAGCACTCACTGCCGCTGTAACTTGACATGTGTTCACGCCTTTCGCCGTTTGCAAAAAAGAATCTGTTAGTCGCTGCTGCCGGGGGTGAGAGGTCTGGGCCGTCTTGCCGTGTTGTCGACTTCGCCGCAACCACAAACCCGCTGGGCGTGAGGGTTCGGAGACAATAGCTAGTCGGCCAGATGACGGCAAGTTCGCAGTGAACCAAATCGATCTAGGTTATGTATTCTGTTTGGTATTGGCCGAGCTTTCCGATGGGCTTGTCATCCGCCAACAGTGTGAGGAGCCCAACTTTCGGGGGGTACAACGCACACACCACCGAAACACCAAATCCCTGAGCCAAAAAAAATAGAAAGTATTAAAATTGTCGGTCGGCGGCACTTGTGCGCCACGAGCTAGTACAGTACATCACACAACGTCACCATCTTCACAGTTCGGTCTCATCTTCTACGCCATCCTTTGTCTGCCTCCTTCCTCACCATGCTCATCGTCGCCGATGAGGTATCGCTCCGGGTCTGCGGAGAGGGTGGTCTTGCCGGTGCCCGAGAGCCCGAAGAACAGAGCCGTGTCGCCGTTCTTGCCCTTGTTCGCTGAGCAGTGCATCGCCATCACGCCATCCAGGGGCAGCCAGTAGTTCATCATGGAGAAGATCCCTTTTTTCATCTCCCCCCCGTACCTGGGTGGTGTTGTGCCCACGGGTGTTTCCGTGGATCAGGCAGGTTGGGCGTTTGGTTGCAGCCATGGCGGTGGTGGTGGCAGCCCGTTTCATGTTTGGCGCAGGGCTAAAGATAATAGTTCCACGTCTGTGGTTCATGCCTTCAGTTTCAAAGCGCCGGAGAGATTCTCAGTCCCCCCTTCCCTCGCGATCCAAATACATGGGGGTTTGTAGCGGTAAGATCAAGGATGACGTGACTCATGAATACGTGTTGCGCGGACCTGTTAGAGGTGCAGTAACCACTATGGTCACGTCTGTTCGCTTATATATTGCAAGCTCAGCGGCGAATATGTATGGCAATTCACTTCTCACGCCCCTACCGTGTACCAAAGGGAGAATGTGCACACTGCCAGGTTACGTCAACAGACGGGCAACCCGCTTGCTCTCAGTGCGCCTTCAGGAAGGGTGGGACGGTCTCTACAGCAGTGATAATAGGGCCAATAGTGTTGCTATCACAGCTCGGGTGTAGTACACATCGACCAGGTCTCTCTAAATCGTGGCGAATCCTTCCACTCGGTCACTGGCCACCAGCCACTTTTCCGAGGAAGAAAATCGTACTTGCCTTGCGTGCTGAAAACGAAACCAGAAAGATGCCTTGAACAAGCAAAGAAAGACACAACCGTAAAACCCCTCTCCAACTAAAGACACAGCTAGCTCCGGTTCAAACGACCATATTTGTTTTTCCTTTCGTTGTTGTACCTTTTATGGTCCGTTACTCGCAGGGTTTACCGGCCTCGCCGCTGTAGCTCAACAGCTCCGATCGATCCGAGATCACAGGAATAAACCGGTCCCTCGGCGGACAAAACTGCTGCCAGAATGAAGTATAAGGAAAACGTCTTTCGCTCACCATGTGCCGGTGATTACCGCCTTCCTCTCCTCGACGTTGAACACCACCGCCACCTCCGAGTTAAGCCCAAGCTCCTGATTTCGCAAGGTTCGGGAGCGACGAAAGGCGTTCATCGCAAGGTTGGGTAAAGGGCAGCACGTACAAGCGCATGGGGCAAAAGCGGGCGAAAGGTAGCGGAAATGAACCCAAAAACCTATGGCCTATGCCCCAGAGTCTATCGAGCGTCTGTGGGGGCTGGTGTTGGGTGACGTCGCTGCGTGTTCATCTTAGCACTTGACGTGCAGTGAAGAGGGTCAAGGTTCAGGACGGCCTGCGGAGACGCGAGGAGTACGGCACGATCCTCGCGAACAAAACCCTTGTGTGAACGCAAAAAAAGAGCGTAGAGAACAACAACAGCATTGAAAATTGGCAGTGAATCAGAACGGCGGTGAGCGAGCTTTTTTTGTCTTTCCACACGCGCCTCTTTTGTGAACACACACCCGTCATATATTGCCTAGCGGTTTGCTGCGTTCAGACCCGTCATCCATTGCCTAGCGATTTGTTGCGTTTCGCGTGTACTCCAGTCTTTTTCCGGGCGAAAACCATTCGAGTGGTCCTCTTGTGCAATGCTTCCAGATTCAATGTTACGAATCTACATCCCAAGGTCCAACGGTGTTCCCAGTTAAGGGGTTGGTCTGCGAACCGGGTGAGGCGTGAGAGCTCCCTCTGCCACCCCCTTCTGCAGCCGAATACGGCACGCACACACAGCGGCTTCCTGACTGCTACTCTTCGCCGAACAGATTTTCGTTTTTGCGATGTCTTTCTCGTCCTCGTCCCCCGGACGGTGCGTGCATACCTTGTAGTCATCGTTGACCACCTTGCACGCGTTGATGATGGTGAAGTCGGGCTTGAACCCCGCCGTCTCCGCCTCCGTTTCCGGCCGGATGAACATGTTCTTGGCGAAGTGGTGCTGCCACGCCAACTCCGTGATGATGCGTACGTTCTTGCGTGACTTGGGGCTTGTGCCGCAGTATCCGTCGAACACGTACCTAGATCGTATGGTTGGCGGTTGTGTCCGGTTTTACCGCCCATGTTCGTGGAATGTGTTGAACCCCCCCCCAGGACGCATGGTCAATGATACAATGCCACGCACACCACGAGTACGCCCCTACCCACCCGCCGCTCCTTGAAAGCAGTTTTTCATGTGGCCCTGAATCGTGGCTGTGTTGCGTGAAACAGCCCCGTGGGCAGGAACGGCCCCGTTTCACTGGTGCTGTCAGTATGGCGACTTCGATACCAGTATTCCATAGGAAAAATCTCTGTGAAAACCCAACGTAAGCGTGTATGATAGTTTCCATCCCTCCTTGGTATCGAAAGTGCAGCTACTCGTTACAAGCACCGTGTCGGGACCGCCCTCGGTGCGTCTCACATGCTGTCGACGTTGTCGTTGTAGTGCTTGACGGCCTTGTTGTAAATGTTCTCGAACACCTTGGGGGCCACGCCCACGTTGATCTTTCCCCAGTCGAGGGTCTTGTCCGAAGGTGCCTACACCGAAGTTTTTATGCGAAACGACGACGGCCGTGGGTTTATTGGCGCAACCCATCATACGGAGAGGAGGCTTCAAGGAACATCTCGTTTCCGGTGTCGATGACAACTTCACGTAAGATACATCCTCAGATATAGACCAATACTCGGATATAGATGAATGCTTGCATCTTGCAAACCCATAGTTTGCCGCAGACATGCATCGAAGATCGAGCCCGGGTTGTGCCTATTTCCGGTCCCGCACTAGTATAATATCCCTTCCGGGAGAACGGTGTTCGGTGCACACACCTGCTGAACGAAGTACTTGTCCTTGGGAGACCGCCCAGTGAACTGGCCGGTGGACACGCAGAACGTACCGTTGGCGGTCGACTCCCCCTCCTTGTTCTTCGTCTCGTGCTCGAACACTTGCGGGTAGGGCAGGTTGTGGTGTACGGTGGACTGCAGGCCGGCGAGGCAAGAGGGCAACAACGTGACCAAGCACAGCTGGAAGAAGTTAGCATGGATGGTGATACTGCCTCAACAGGTTCATGAAAACGAGCACACACGTTAGAATAGTATCGGGTCGAAAAAAAAGTTGGACTTAGGGCTATTGTTAACGCAACGAAAAAAAAACGGAACGGTGAAAAGAAGATCCGATTGTCTTTCGCTTGTTCTATTCGTGATGTCATCGCGAAAAATACGTGTCCTTCCCTGAATACACGTTTTGCTCGACACACAACAGGTTGACATGGTATTGCTCACCATAGAGCAGCGGTGAAAGCGCAATGAGCAGCACCCGACACAGAGGACAACACACTTAGAAAGATCCCGTCCACCTGGCCTGCTGTTTTCAGTTTTCAGCAACAACAGGCGCAGGGCAAAGTGTCGCCACCTGGGTGTTGCTTGCGATTTCTTCAGTTTGCCAGCTCATTTTTCACGGTTGCGACTCCCATCTTTGACCACCACCTGCCCAAAGGTAGACGAGCTCAACAATCATAGGGCGACAGCCGCGCTGACGGCCAGCATCATATAGATGGCCAATCCGAAAAAATTGCGTGTCGGAGGTCCTGTTGCTCTACTGCTGCGTGGTGCCGTGGGCCGTGGATTGATGATGATGCGTCCGACCAAAAACAGATCATCTCGCCGCATTTTTTCCAACGGCATTTTGGTGAGGTGGCACACGTCTCTCACACACTTTATTAAGCAGCACCCAAGCACCCAATACCAACGAAGCAGCACGGCGCCGGGAGATGGTATCATATAGACAGCCGAACCGAAGGAATCAGCGCGTTGGAGGTCTTGGTGCTGCTGCTGTACTCGTTCTACTGTTTCCGTGTGTGCTATGTGTGATTGAAAATAATCCCCCAGCACCAACAGCAGCAGTTGAAGACGAGAGAACCACGCAATGCCTAGTTTTGGGCCAAGAACGGACTGAACGCCGCTTCTGCCGCTTGTCCATCTCCACAACAGACCTGGACGTGAGTCTGGCAGGCCTTTCTAGCGTTCTCAGTGATGTTACAGCGCCCGCGGTGCGCTTATCCGATGCTTCTGTCAAAAACACGGATTCGTGAAAGTAGCAAGCCCCAAAAAAATCCCGGCACCTTCTTTTCACGTTTTCGGGGAAAAACGCCTCCATGTATGTTCAAGACAACACGGTTCCGTTTTTTTTTCATGTTTTTTTGGTCGATAACAATAGCCTTTAATATTTTGCGTCAAATCCAAACTACTACGCTAAATTATAGCGACATAAGCGTGGCAGAGGGCATGTGATCATGTAGGTGAAGGACGCCTCGAGAGGTGTTACTCTGGCAACGATTATGACGCAATCCCAGTGCAACTGTAGACCGGCAATCGGGAGAAGATTCGGCCCTGTCTCATGATGTCGGGCACGGCGGAGTCTATTGGTATATCTTCACGGATCTTATCTCCTTTTCCCCTCATATATATATTTCCTCGCACAGTCTACAGTAGTATAGATGATGCAATCTGTTCTCAGGAGAACCCATTGACGAAGAGACCGAAAACTTTCGGGATGAGCGGGGGGGGTGATGGAGCAATTTCAGCGTCAGCTGTCATCACGTATCCTTTCCCGCACCTGAATTCAACTCATACAAAGTTTTGACAATATGGCCTGTTCGAGCGCATGCGCGAGGACATGTACATATACCCTCGATAAGCAGATAGCCCTCCTCCCCCCCCCAACCTTGCAGGAGATACGGACAAAGACATTGAGTACGCTAAGAGCTACGTACGACAGTGGCCTGTTTACCAACGTTCTAATATGGGTGAACGGTGTGCACATCCCGTCGGCAAGCTTTTGCGTAGGCCCATACGCATGTTTCCAGAGACGCTCTGGAAACATTCCACGGGCAGATGCTGCAACCATGTTCTGCGGAAAGCACACTCAACACAGCGCGGTGGCGGCGGGTTTGACCACACACCTACCGCGCTACGACCCACGTACGAGTAATTCATGCTGCAACCGTAGCGGGGCGGGCTGCGGTACCAACCACCAAGATATGTCGCCCTCGGACGCCAGGAACCAGCGCAACATTGATGTTCTCTTCGTTGTTCTACCCGGGGTAACCTCACACTGCAACTTGCACCTTCCGCAACCCATGGGCCAAAAACGCGCAATTACGATGCTGGCGAGGAGTACAAGGGGAACCCCCGTAAAAGCTTCTAGCTGTTCAAGATCCTTGCCTCAGCAAGCATGCCAGCGATCCCGACATACAACCTAGCTGTCCTGCGGCGAAAATATGTACACTCCAGTTGGCTGCCGGCGGGTACGCTGGCTCTCCGCAGCAAGTTGTCCCGGGAGCCCAAAAAAAGTGCAACACCCGGAGTATGTCTTGGACGCGAGGAACAAAGGCTCCCTCTAAGCTTGAGCTATACACATCGGGCCTACCGGCTTGGTGATGCCCGTTGCCTTGTCGATGCCGAGCGAGCTGACGGTGGCAAGAGACGCCGTTTTGCCCAGCCGTGCTGTCGCTGCCGCCGCCCCGATCTTGACCGCTCGACGAGACGAAGCTGCTGCTGCTGCTGCTGCTCGTAGGCCAGTGATGCGCACCGGAGCCAACGCCATCATCGCCGACATGCTGCTTCTTGTATCCTCCTCTCTGCTAAGTGGATTGCTGTTCTGGCGTAGCTTCGGACGCGTTGTTGAAGAGTGGGATTGAGCGAAGTATTGTGGTGTGGTGTGGTGGTGGGTGGTGGGTTGCGTTTGAGTACTTCTGTTCGAGAGAAAACGAGAAAAATCCCACGTGGGCGCTGAACCGCAAACTGAACCTGTGTTCGAGAGCCAGAGCATCTACGCATCTACCCACGCATCTACTGCTGTACTTGATCTACGTAATCCACGTAGAGGGGGGTTTCGGAATATCATAGGGGGAGGGCACTCATGGCAGGCGTGTGGGTTGGGACACGTGTTTTCGGGACATCATCAACCACCACGAGGCCCTGCCACTGCGCTGCTGCTGTTGTTGTTATTCTACGCACTGCTTCCGCTCCTTGCCCTCGAACTAGCGTCGACGATATCGGACAGCCGTCCTCATAAGGTGAGAAAAAGTAACCAGTATTCGAGTGGTGGTTGCAGCCTTCCGCGTGCACATGTACAACCGTAGCCGGGTGCGCTAGCTTCCGGTTACTCTCGCAGCACGCACCAGTAGACATCATTGACACAGGTTTTGGGCATGAGGCGTCCAGCAGTTCGGCTCTGCGTGCGTATCGGTGGCTTTGGTGGCCTGTGGGTAGAGATTGGGAGAGAGAGGTGGTGTTGGTTGGGCCACTTGTCTCTCGACAGCTGAACGCCACATACGTGCGGTGCAGTTGAAGCTCCCCGCTGTCCCCGCACATATAGCAGCTGGGCCTTCGCTGTAGGTTGCTCTGCCGCCACCTTCCCCCAGATTTAGCACGCCATCTATCACTGCCTTCTATGCCTGTGGTTGCCTCACGTGTTTGTTCCGTTCTTGTCTAGAGTGTGCTTCGTCACTCTCTTCTCTTTCTTCAACACGGCAGGGAGCGTCCATGGAGGAAGTCGATTGCTCCGCGTCCGTGGGGCGTATTTCTGTCAGTTCGGTCGGGGTGTAGTACCCCGTCGGGTGTCGTAGTTTTTCCAAGTGCCAATACTCAAAAGAAAGACGCGTCCTTGCCCTGCACCTAGTATCTGTTCATCGGTTTTACGGCCCGCAACGCCACGCAGTAATCCCACCCGCTTCAGGGCAGCGCAAGCAGCCGCAGACAACTGCCGAGCATCCGCGGTAGATTCAGATTGTATCGCTCGAGGCAAGTCGCTGTTCTGATCCTTATCCGCAGAGAGTGAGCGCAGTCGTTCGTGCAAGGCGCCACCAGCATCACGCTCACAGCAATAGAATAGTTGTTGTTGGTTCACTAGTGCTGCTGTTGCTTTCGTAGGCACGGCACAGCGCTTCTGCAGCAGCACACTAAATGGCAACTGCCACGGCTGTTTCATCCTGCAGTTGTTGTGAAGCCGCGACGCAGAGTCACCTCGATCACCAGGAGGATATTTCGCACGGTCGCATATTTCCACTTTGTGGTGCGACCTTTTTTCTCCCCGCTGTAATGTTGATGAGAGCTGAAACTCCACCGATCGAAGTGTTGTTGTTATGTACGTAAGTACAAACACAGAAAGACTACAATACCCATTCGAAACATTACCACAGCAGTCGAACGGGATGTGTTGGAGTCATGTCAGCAGAGCTCCGTACTTGCAGTAGAGATACACCGGGGGCAAGGGGGTGTTGATATGATTTCTTGTTGGCTTTTTTCGCGCACCCCGGTGTGATCTCTCCGACCCAGGCGCGGCAACAAACTTGAGAATTCATATCGTTCTAGCTTTTTCACGGCACCCCGATGCGATCTATCGATGGGTGCGATGCCCAAATAATACAAACGGCGGTTTTTACAAATATACTGGTACTATGCATACGGCGGTGCTGTATTCACACTTTCCGGTGCGATAACCCCAATAGGTGCGATACTGAGACCGCGACCGACTCTTTTAAGGTGTTGCCCCAATGATCCCCTCACCACATGTGAATGGTACCCATGTTTTCCTTATTCCACTAGATTATAGAGCGTCCGGTCCCACCTCCACACGTAGGAGGTACCTTCATGTACTACCCAACTACTGCAGCTCAAAAAGTGGCCGAGGCCCACCTCGGGAGCACTCAATCCTTGTATTTGAGGTCGGAGACATCGCAACCGGATGCGATCTCTCCTACCCCAAATCCAAGATCGAGTGATCCGCAGGTAGGCCTGGGCGAGTTTTCGATTTGTAGTACGTAAATACAGGTGGGTACCTGTTTTATGTGAGGTATGACCGGGCAGCGTTTTGAGCCGTTGCAATGAGGTACATGTGGGTACCTTTCGCTTGTGGTTGAGGGGATAATCCGGGCAACACTCTGATATGAACGGTCGTCGTGGCCTCTGTATCGCGTCCATCGGGTTTTGTGCAATCGGGTGCACCGGGGTGCGATCTATCCACACCCCGGTGCGGAAGTACAAAATTGTCCATGTCGTTCTTGCTTTACTTTGCGCACCCAGGGTGCTCATCTCTCCGACGGGTGCCATCTCTCACACTATTACGGTATGATGTGGAAAGACTAGGGCATGGGAAACCCCACAGGCCTACCTACCCCACAGCATGGCAATCTGCATGCTCCGTGAGATGCGAGGTTCCAGCCCAGACCTTACTCTCCCCAACATAGACAACATCTACCTCTTTAAGACCAGTAGAGCGGTGCTGCTACAAATTATAGATGATATGACGTCAGAAAGTCAAGGTTTGGGCCGGCCCACCAAGGTTGTTTTTCTGGTGAACACGCGTAGGCGAATCCTTTCCGTGTATGGCGGCCACTACTGCTGCGAGCTCGTATGCCAAGGCGACGACGATGCCTGTCCATTGTCCAATGGGTGCTAGGCGTGGTTTGTGTCGCTGCCCCCCCCGCCCCCTACGTAGGGTCTATGAGTTTCTTGCTCACATGCTACTTCAGAAGTAGGTCTCCGCGCGCACGTTGCAGCTGCAGTCCATGCAACCCGTACTCGCGAACTAGATATCCTGCCGCCGGCTCTCCTGCTCATTGCCCATCCTCGTCTCCAGCCGTGCCACGCAACCACCACCAGTGCACAGGCACACGATATAGAGGCAAGAATGAAGTGGACACGCAGAATCGAGTCGATACGTTCCACTGATGTCCAACCGCTATTACTCTGTCTTTCTCTCTGCCCCGTGTCCTGCCCTCCTCTCCAGCCTTAAAACCACAAGCGCAGTGACAACACGTGGGGGACGTAAAACCTTTCAACGGGCGGGCTCAATTTTTGGGCGGAACGTTTTTCGACAGCCTCGATCACGATGATGATGATGATGGGCGCGATGCGGGGGATGAGGAGGAGCTTGTGCGTGGTGGTGAGCCTGGTGCTGCTCTCGGCGGTGTGCGTCAGCGCCGGGAAGCTGTGGGGCGTCGACGTCGGAAAGAAGGAGGATGTGAGCAATACTCTGACTGGGCGTCGTTGTCATATAGCCGCACTGGCCGCCGTTTGCAGACGGTGGAGGAGGCCACTCTCTCGTTTTTTTTCTTGAGCGTACAAAGAAAATCGAATGAGCCTTTTGACGGTAGATCCATGTCGTACGGGAGGGACGTGGCACAAGGTGATGGTATTGCTATTGTAGCGATGCGTAACTCCCGAGGCTGCTGTTGCTGCTACCCGCACAAGTTGTGCAGCATCTTTCCACTATCGAGCAGCGTTGGACAACTTCAGCCGTAGGCTCTCGTGAGCAGCACGTCAGTGGTCGTCATCAGAAGGGAAGAAGAGTATAGAAGAGTATAGACCCCAAAGAGTCTTGCCGTGGATGGCATGTGTTGGGGCTGGTGACTTCCAAGCGCCATGCACGCGGGTCCTCTACGTTCCAGAATCGCAGCATTTACTCTTGTTAGCTTTCCTTACCCCGAAGACGTAGCCATTTTTCCCTGCTTGGTTCCTACGGGTGTCCTCCATGCGGTGCCCTGGCTGGTATCGTGCACGTGTCAAGTACAGCACGTGTTTTGGTGTTCCATGTTTTTTGCCCCGACTCGACCCTCTTGCCCCGTCTGCGTGCCCCCCTGCCTGTCTTTCCGTCTCGACGGTTACACAGAAGGGGGAGTTCGCATCCCTGTTGAATAAGGCCACCGGGATGGACCGGGGAGACGGGGCGGGCGGCGGCATCGGGGACGAAGTCGGGTGAGAAGGGTTGAACAAGAGACACACACACCGCGCATGAAGGAGGGTTCCACCTTGTTCCCAATAGAGCTCTGGGCCCTTGCTTCCGTAGAGTAGGCAGCGGTGCTTCCCCGGACGACGGCCATACGATGCCGAATAGTTGTGTCAGGCTCGCGCGTATGTTTTATGCGTGTGTGTTTTTTTACTAGCATCGACCCGTGTGGGTGTATTTAGTTGTTGTTAGCATCGACCGCGCTAGCCGGCTGGCCAATGAAAGTGTCCGTGTGTGTTTTGTTGTTGGCATGGGCAGCGCCATCCGCCAACGAAAAATACTTGAGTCTCAAGGCGGCGGCTACGGAAAACGCCGTTTGGGACAATCATCTGGGGCCCTGTGACCAGGCTGTTCTCCGGAACACACGTGTCTACCAACGTCTCTACTGTGTCCGTTTGCCTCCCTGAGTGTATTGTTGCTGGTTTCGGGTGCGTGCGCGCGCTCAGAGTCTCATTCTGTGTCGGTTAGGTCGATCTACTCGTTTTCCCTTCGGACGTGCCATGCATAACACTGCCGAACGTTTGTCGCGCGCGATTTTTCATTCTCGCTTCGGATGTCGAAAAAATGCTCTCTTGCGATACATGAACAGTTGTACCCTTTAGTCTACTCGCGCAAGCTATATCCACGACGATTGGTAAAGTCTGCAACGTGTTGGACATCCTGTTTTCTTTCTTCGTTAAGCAGACGTATGTCACGTAAGTATGGCGTTTTTCCCACCCCTTACCTTCCTTTTCCAGCTCGATACTGGCGCAGGTTGCTGACATGGACCTGTCGCAGCTGAGCCTTTCGGAGTTGGGCACCAACGTCATCGACATGTTTCTGGAGACCATCAAGGACGAGCAGGTGGGCGCGGAAGATGGGACCGGTTCCGTCGTCTTCGTTGCCCGTGTCGCTGGTGCCGTTGGGGTACTTGCTGGGTGTGGCCGTTGATTGCGTATTTTTCCTGGTTTTGCTGCTGCTGCTGTTGGTGGTGGTTGGGTCTTGACTGGCTGTGATGGGTTCAGTTGTCTACGCAGCCTAATTGATTTAAGCAAACATATGGGGTAAAGTTTTCAATCCGTGCTTTGGGGTTAGGGATAGGGTCTGCGTGCCCCCTCCCTATTATTTTTCTAGATACTCTTGAAATCATGCGTAGGCGGTCCTGATGGGTTCGTGTTGTTTGCCGGACGAGTTATCTAGAAGAAGAGGAGGAACAAGTCGCCGTTCTCGCGCGGACACGGCAACGTGACGACGTGATGGTGGTGAGAGGGGGCGTCATCCCAGGTGATGATCTTCGCAGTGATCCGGGGGTAGTAGATTCGGGGTCACAGATTATTCCGGACAATCCGAGAGAGGGAGGCCGGGGCGTTATTTCGTCCGCAAATTATTTTATTCATTGAATTCAAGTGTTGGGGGCCGAAACCCCGGTTTTCCGGCCATGACCGGGGATAGGGGACAGGGCAGGCAAGTGAGGGTGCGGCCGGGAGGAGGGCAGACCTGTGCAAGGGGGCGGCTGGGTAGCGCTCGGCGACACCTTGACTGGATGTGAAGCGGGTACCACTTGATGTCAAGACGTTCGATTTTTGGAAGTCTCGCTTTCGGAAGCATATACGGGGTGCATACAGCAGAAAATGCCTTTTTTGTGACGTTCACCCGATGTAGACCGCGTACCGCCCTCTTACATCAACTTTTCGACCAATTCACGAACGACCCGCGTTTGCGCTTCCAGCGCTGCAATGGCCTGAGCTTTCTAAGACCTGATGTTTGATACAACCGCGATATTGTGGTGCGCAAAGCGTGGTTCGCCTTTCCCCTGGTGAATGCGGGTCGATCCTCACGCGAGGAACCTCTCCTCCCCTCTCTGTCCCACGCTGCCAGTCCATCCCTAATCCTCTCTCTCTATATATATATAATATATTTTCCTTTGTTGTCCTGGTTGTGCACAAACACCAGTTCATCAGCCAGTTTGCGGAGCCGGGAGTGTTGGGGGAGCTTGCTCAGAACTCAGGGCTGAGCGCACTTCTGGGGGAAGACGGCATGGCCTCTGTGGAGAGGGATGATGTGAGTTTACCGTATCCCATCCCATACCTATACATACATCCCGTACCGTATCATATCCCGCGCCACTTTTTCCGAGCCGTATACCACACGTTGAGTTCCGGCAGCAGGGGATTATCTGTCTTGTAGGGGAAGTACGAGACCTGGCGGTCGCGCGGGGGGGTTGCTGAAAGAATATTTGATGTGACGTGTAGGAGAGCGCGGATGCAGGGGGGTCCGCAGGATTCGAGGTCTAGGGAAGGCGTTTTGTGGATTTTGTTTTGGTTTTTATCTTGCAGCAAGAGTGTTGTGCCGGGGTTTCGCTACACAGCAGTAGTGGCCCGCGGCACTACTTCTGCGGTGGTGTCGTCTCTTTCCCCGAATAGCGGTGTGCGTGGGTGGTCATGTTTTTTTTTTGTCGTACCAATCCCTGCTGTTTACCATACCGTACCATAGCATGCCGGTTGACCCCTTCACGACGGCTCGCATCGTGCCGTTGGTGCGAGACATGAGGACACCTTTTCGAAGGATCCTCTCTGTTGCGCGGCGGATGGATACCCTAGAGCCCTATCCACTGCTGGTGGACGGCCGCTTTTTATTGGAAGATTAAAACTTGATTGGTGTGAGAGAAAGAGATGCAGAAATTTTACGTACAAAAATTATGTTAAACTCGCACCTTACCCTTGCAAACTGCACGGTGTACCCTCCCCTGCAACCTGCCACTGCACGGGTACTGCTGTTACTGAAATGTTTTATGTATGGTACCACATCTTTACGGTTTTTACCATGGGTCCCAGTTGACGACGGTGTTCTTGATGGTACACCACTTTTTTTGTTTTTAAGCTTTTGACCGGGAACATGACATTTTTTCCGATCCGGGTGTCGCCCTTTCCTCCCCATCTTGTGCCGCCCCTTCTTGCCCTTTATGTCGTTTCTTGGGGTGCCGTCGTCGTCTCTCTCTCTCTCTCTTGTTCTTCGCTCACAGCTGTTGGCGCTCCTGGCTTTGGAGGACAGCCCTATCCTCTACAAGACCAAGTTTTACGAGATCGTGGACAGTGAGTACCGAGGGACAGACGAGGCAGAGACAGGGGGGATAGAGAACGTTTTGAAGAGGCATGCCGGGGCATGGGGGTGTACCTCAGAGTTTTTCGCTTGTTTTTTGTGCAGGAGGTTGGCGACAACACTGCGAACCATCCAGATCAAGAGAGAGAGAGAGAGAGAGAGAGAGAGAGCCTTGGATGTGCCCCCAATCCCTATCTCCCCACTCCCTTTCAAAGGGGCGTCCCCTCTTGTCACTAGAACATGGTTCGGGCGTTCTTACTTACTTACATCATCTTCCTTCCCTCCACAGATGATGATTCCTCCCCTTTGCAGATGGGAGTCTGGGATATATATAGATTATCAAACCATCCGGCTTCCTTTTTTTTCTTTTCTTTTTCTTTTTTCCTGTGTTTTCAGAGTTCATCGGGAAAACGGTGGCCTTCCGAATGGACGTCGCGAACCCTGTGAAGCTGCGGCGCTTGGTGTTGGAAACGCTGCAGGCTGCCGGACTCGACCAACCTATGATTACCCAGGTGCTGGAGGTTGAATCGATGTTTATGCGTACTGTATGCACGCAAGCTTGTGTGACCACGGAAGGCGTCCCCGTCAGTTGGACCAGTACACATACGGACATTAGAAGGGACTGAGTGGAGTATACATACGGACATTAGAAGGTACTGAGTGGAGTATACATACGGACATTAGAAGGTACTGAGTGGAGACCGATGTGAAGACAACAACAACAACAACAACAACAACAACAACGCACGGTCGTTCCGTCCAGCTCGACAGCGCAGCAGTACGGGGGGGGGGGTGTTACCATAGTCGTACATGCCGTAGTCGTTAGACCATTGACCTCGCATCCCTACAAAGCCGGGACGGAGTACTCCGGGTTCTCACCGGATCAGGCTCTCACATCACCAAGCGCGAAGTTTCCGTGAGGTGTTCGGCGAGTCGCATGAAGGGTGCGCTGCATCCTGCTAAGGGTGTTCGGCATCTTGTGCTTACTTCCTTGCGTACGAATGACAGCTGCGTATGACTTAATTTATTTTCTGGTGCTTTCACTTCCAGAGACAGTTATAAGCAATGTGTAACTGCCTCGAGGATGCTTGACCAATTTAACAAAACGTGGTGCGATTATCCCCTTTGCGCGGAGTGAGGGTTCGCGACCCCGCACAACATAATCTACTCGACCACCATTCATGGTTACCGCAAAAACGAAAGCGGTAACCTGGTTGCCGAGTTCAGGAAGTGGTTGACTTGTTTTACAACGTCGCTGCCAAGCGACGAGAACCCAACCCGGATGGCAAACGCCGGGGGGGGGGGGGGCAGGGGGGGGTTGTCGCTGCGTTGCGGTTTGGTACGATCTCGTGTACCCCGTTTGTTTGGTGGTGTTGTTGTGAGTGGTGGTGGTGCTTTTGTCCCCCACGTTGACGATCGCTCTGACCTTTGTCCGGTAAATTGCCTCCCTACGGAAACTGTCTCTTATTCCTGGGCGGATTTCACAACCCGGTTCGTTTGGCACGGTATGGTGTGGTGGTGTGATTTCCTAGAACCTTTCCGGCTGAGCCGAGGGCACAACGTTGTGCCGGCATAGTGGCTCCTGAGTCATGTTCTGCGAAGAAAATGCAGTCGGAGCATCTTTGTCTTGTAGTTGGTGGGATTGCGTGCTAACGTACGGTACTTTTTATTGATGGAAGGAATTTGCTTGGGCGATGCCGCTTGTTTTCGTTCGCCGGGCAGATCATGGAGGTCGTGGAGCACCCGGAAATCATGGCTCAGCAGATCAAGGCGATGGCCTCCGACCCCGCCGTGATAGAGCAGGTGAGAAAGAAGGCCGCCGTGATAGAGCAGGTGAGAAAGAAGGCCACCGTGATAGAGCAGGTGAGAAAGAAGGCCGCCGTGATAGAGCAGGTGAGAAAGAAGGCCGCCGAGCAACTGTCCCATTGTTTGTTTGATCCGCGTCCGTCCGCGTGTGTCGTGGCGGTGCTGGTTGTTAAAGTTAGCTTGAGATGGTTATACCCGGCGCCTGTCTGTGTGTCCCCCGTCTCGACTCGACTGACTCGACTCGTTTTTTTTGCCGTAGTTCTTTCTTGCAACACGCTTGCGAAAAAATATTGTCCTGGCTCCCCGCGGGCGCGCGTTCGTCTGTTGTGTCTTGTCTTGCTGGTGACCGTGTCGCGGTGAACGGCCGCGCTCCCTCGAGCTTGCCATCTCACGCATTTATGACTCTCTCTGTTTCGTTTTTTTTTTTTTTGCCTTCAACAAAACCACGCTCCTCTCCTCTCCTCTCCACTCCACTCCACTCCTTTCCACTCCTCTCCACTACT